CATACTAATACTTATACTGTCATAATTATTCATTCATTTTCATTCAAATTAAAATGATTGACACAAAAGGAAAAATGTTTTGCATACCAGTCCGATATGCTATTTAATATATTTATTCTATTTTTATACATGTTCATGTTACAATACAATGAATACATTCTCATTCAGCAAAAATTGTATGAGTTATTATAAATTATATATATACATCATAAATACACACAAAATACTTTAGTTTGAGACTCAGTGTATACATAATAAAATATTTATTATTAAAAAACAACACTAAAACTCCACCACTGAGAGCTTGTCTCAGGACACTTAGGCTCAATATAATATAATTGACATTGCTCTTGTCTCTAGTCTGAGGTTCAAGTCACTTGCTGAGGATCATCTAAGACCCTTATTAGGACTTAGGGAGGTTCGGGCATAGGGTTTCCTATTTAAATTTAATTTTAGCAACCATATATGATATTCTTGGATACAAACTAATGCAACTGAAACAACAACACACTTGACACTGAAAAAAAATAGCTAGATTAGCTGGAAATCATTCAACAACTCTCATAAATACAACTGATAGTAGACAAAAGTGATGTTTATTGGGCAATGTCTCAACTTGAGTCAGATGTTGCTCAAACAATCTTGTATAAGCTGAATAAATAACTAAAATTTATCTTCTTCTTTAGGCAATGATGAAACATAGTATACTGCTGCTGCTACCCCTGCTATCATTGGCATTCAATCTGAAAAGTGAACTTAGTGAGAGCTGCCACAAAAAAACAATATTTTGTCTACAAAATCTAAAGAGATTAAACTGCAAAAATCCGGAATCATTTACTATTTGTGCAATGTCAGTATATATTTATTTAATATGTATATACTATATTAAATAAAATGATTAATATTGGATTATATTTTATATCAAATGCCACAGCTTATTCTGGATTCAATTTAAAGTCTTATTCTCTCTCAGTCAAGCAGGAATTTTAAAATTATTTTAACTAGTGAATTGTACCATTTAAAAGTTTCCATTATTATCTGAGAATAAAATAGGTAGATGTCAATTAACTCCTGTATGACCAATTAATACTGTGTTGACTTTTCTGGCATGTTTCATGAACATCTCAAAATTTTTATGAATCATGGACAAAGTATTTGTTATGTTAAAAAAAAATAGTAAAAGAAATTATTTTTTGTAAAATAAGTCTAAATTGAAGTCCAATAATTTGATATCTAAAAATTAATTGATTTCACCTATTGTATTAACTTTAAAAGTAAATAAGACTAATGCAATTTGGCTGAGTAGGTGTATTGTAATAAGTTTCCTTTGCTTTGACTTGATTAAATAAAACCAATAGCTGATGAAACATGATTCACATAATATAAAATATAATCATGGAATAGAACTCCAGTCTTACACTTGACCTAATCAAGAGTTGCTTTCCTTTATAGGAAGAAGTTTTTTTTTTGTTGTTTTATCCTGAAAAATCTTGACACTCTTGCTTAAGACCATAAATAGAGACCAGCAGCTCAATAATTAGTTTTTATCTTTTCAGGATAAGATGCTCAATTCAGGAGATCAAGGTTTTAGTTATAATGTTATGTCAAGTCAACTCAGAACTCTCAAACATAGAAGCCACATCGTTATCCAAACATTGCTCCAGTGCATACAGAAATTGCTGGAGTCAAGCAATGCCGCCTCTGGTATTACTCCTTGACAGGGGGGAAACATTTGCTGCCCTCTGTCAGGCTGTCAGTTCAGAAGAATTCAAAGATTGCTTGAGGTGGGGACTGGTGATTTTGATCTTCTTCTAAAGTTTATTTAACCAACTTCCCCTAGTCTTAGAGAGTGAAAATTTGATACACGACTTAGTGTTGTGAAGTATTGAAATCTATAAATATTTGCTGGATCTTTGACTGAACTGTTGGATCTTTGACTGAACTGTCCATAACCAATCTCTGATAAGCTAAGATTTTAATAAATCATTTTAAAATGTGATATAGCTCTCTAAATAAATCATTTAAAATGACCCCACAAGTTTTTTGACTGACCCTATGAAGAAATAGTATCTTCCCTACTGGAATAGACCAGGTTAAAACCTACAGAACAGGTAACTGAGTCACACCTGTAAGAATACTGAGGCCCCAGTTCCATCTAAAATGGTGAGTCAAATCAAGTGCACACATAATTTATTTTATCTAAAGTGCTTTAACAGCTTCAGATGCAATAACAGGAGACTTCTTTTATATATGTAAAAAAAAAACTGGAAGGAATTTATGTTAGTATTAAGATTTTAAAATAAATTCCTCTGTTCAAACAATTGTTGAACACTTGAAAATAAATTATTTGTGCGCTTGATTTTAATATTTATGTTGGTATTTAGATTTTTAATATAAATATTAAAATTACTGTCATGTTCTTTTTAAAAAAAATTGTTTAAACCATCACCAGTTACGTTATTCAAAAACATCTCACGCATATCAATCACTATCCCACAGTGATGAATGCAATAAGCCAGAGAAAGGCATCATGATGACCAGGTCATGTAATCCTTGGAATGAAGACAAAGTCTCTGTGGATGCCGTTAGACACATCTGTTACACTGATGTTTTGAAATGCTTAGAAAATGTCCCTTCACCAACCTGTTTGAATATAAAACATGCAGAAACTTGTTTGAGAAGGTGAGTGTTGTCATTGAATCTGGTATATGTGCTGTCTAGCCCAGTGGTATTTGTGTTGTCTAGCCCAGTGGATTGTGTTTATTTATTTATTTATTTATTTAGGCATTTTTATATAGCGCTTATCATAAAGCTCTAAGCGCTTTACAATTATTAAAACATGTAAACTAAGTAAATACAAATGAGATACTAGGATAGTAACTACTATTTTATAGAAACAATGAAAATGGCTATAAAAAGAGGACACTTTGACACTTCAGGATTAAACCGAAACAGAAAATTAGGTAGGGCAAGGAGGGTGCATCACAGGTCATAGGCGGACCTAAACAGATGAGTTTAAGAGGACACTTTGACACTTCAGGATTAAACCGAAACAGAAAATTAGGTAGGGCAAGGAGGGTGCATCACAGGTCATAGGCGGACCTAAACAGATGAGTTTTAAGGGACTTTTTGAAAATGGACGAGTTTTCACTATGACGTATATGGAAGGGGAGCTGGTTCCAGAACGTGGGCCCATGGAAGCAGAAGGAGCGTTCACCCATGGTCTTAGTTTTAGTTTTTGGGATTGACAGGGTTCTACTGTCAATGGAAGAACGTAGTTGTCTTGTGGGGATGTAAGGAAGCAACAGTTCAGAGAGATAGACAGGAAAGTGAGGGTCAGTGAACGAGTTGAAGCAAAGATTGGCAGACTTGTATTTGATCCGAGAGGATATTGGAAGCCAGTGGAGTTGCCGCATGTGTGGTTGAATGTGGTCATGTTTCTTTGATTGTGTCATGTATAGCAGTGGATTGTGTCATGTAAACCAACAGATTTTGACTTGTATAGCAACATATTTTGTAACACAGGGCAGTGGTTTTTATCACATTTAGCATTAGAGTGTATAATTTATAGCAGTGGAATTTGTCAATTGTAGCAGTGGATTTTGTCATACACAGCAGTGGATTGTGTCATGCATAGCAATAGACTGTCTTGCATATTTGCCATAGTATAGTTTTTCTTTGTGTGTTGGTTTTCAGTCTTTTATTACATTTTCTCCAACTAAAGAGCCAAATTTTAAATAACTGATTAAATTTGAAAGCACATAACACTCATGTAAAGCAACAGATTCTGTTATGTATACCTAAAGATTGTGTCATTTATAGCAGTGGATATTGTCAAATATAGCAATGGATTGTGACAAATATAGCGGTGGATTTTTTCAAATATAGCAGTGGATTTTGTCAAATATAGCAGAGGATTGTGTCATATATTCACCTGTTACTGTATTTTTAGAATTTTAAATTCAAAAACACTTTATTCTGTATATGTGATTGCTTTCTTCTAACTATAATAGTATTTTGGCATGAAAGCTTAACCATCATATGACTTTTTTTTTTCAAATCAAGTTCGGAGATATGCCACTGAGAAATAATCAGCTTTTATCAAAGAAAATTATTCCTGTTTCCATATTTTTAGAATTGGAAATTCAAAACCCGCAGATATGCAGTGTGATATTAATATTACAATTATTAAATTTAAAAAGTTTGGCTTAAGTTGAAATCTCAGAAACAATAAGTGTATAAATTTATATCTTTTCCTCAAAAAAATATTGCGCAGAGCTTTTAACTTGTAAAAAGTAATTGCTGGCTCAACTAAAAAAAAATTCTCCATTGATCTCAAAAACAAGCTATTGAAAAGCCCCCATCATCATATTGAAAAAGGAAGGATATAAACGCATTTCAACAAGATGGTGGCAGGCTAAGTTTTTCAAGATCCATCTGCAGGAAACAAATCAGTTACAGGGGAATGTGTCCTGTGTAGCAAAGGATTGTGTCATGTGTAGCAAAGGATTGTGTCATGTATAGGAAGGGGCTGAGGGGATTGTGTCAGGTATAGCAGTGGATTGTGTCATGTGTACTATTAGATTGTCATTCATAGCAGTGGATTGTGTCATTTATAGCAGTAGATTGTCATTTATAGCAGTAGATTGTCATTTATAGAAGTATCTATTATTATTTATGTGAACTGCGCATACCTAAGGGATATTCAGTTTATAAAATGTGTTATAAAATATGCACTAAATTTTTTTACAATTAAGTTCCAATATTACAAATGACTATCAAATTCCATTCTTAGGGGCTGTTATAAAGCAGAAATAGAAACTATTGAAATCTTAATGTGCACCACACACAAGACCCTGTCACTGTACACCAACCGTATTAATGAGGAGATTCCTGTGTGCAGTACCAGTAATTGTAACTTCAAGGCTGACCTTCCTGTATCTCTGTGGATGAGCCCTACAGAGTTGAATAGCAGAATATGTGCAGGGCATTACCCTAAGTGGGAATCTTGCATTGATCCAACAAGGTAATGGGTACATCTTTCTTTTGTGAAAGGTCATGGGAGGGAATCTTGAGTGTGGGGATCTTCAGGTGTTCCCGACATGATGAAGAGTTCCTTTTGTGCTAAGTATTGTGTTGAGACAAAGAACAATCAAATTCTCTTGTATTGAGACAAACAAAACTCCAGTTCTGTTTGTATAAACAAACTCAAGAACAGTCTTAGAGGTTGAGAGGAACATTCAAGTTCTGTTGAAAAGTGACATGCAGTCTTTTTAATCTGTAAATTCATCAATGCTAAGAAGACTCTATACATTAAAAAATAAAGCCCTTTTTACATTTTTTTTGTTAGTGGCTTGCCCAATCTTTCGACTGCTAATTGACCCACTTCCCGTCAGCCTATGGAGCTGAAACTTGGCACATAGACTTGTTGCAGATAACAACACATTCTTTCAAACTTTCAGCCCCACGTCTTAAAAATCAGTTTTTACTTTTTCAAAGGGAAGATAGAGGAAATATGACACCACTGATTTCATGAAATAAAATTCCAGAAAACTGCACTAAATGTGAATTGTAAAACTTTTTCAAGTGCGCTTGGTGCATAATATTTTCTTTCGTTTTTCTGAAATAGTTGGGGAAATAAATCTGCTGTGTAAAAGCGGCTGGGACATTAGAATATTAATATAAAATAAAATAACAAAAAAAGGCATATAAAGGATTCATACGAAAAACTTTAAGGGATGTTAATTTCTTCTCATTTAATTTGAACTAACTTCCCTAAGTCTTAGAGAGCAAACATTAGATACACATTTTAGTTGATTGAAATCTGTAGATATTTTATGGATCTTTAAATAAGCTGTCCTTGAAAATTTCAACCAACAAATTAAAATTTTTAAAATTGGATGAATGGGGGGTTGGGGTATGGATTGGAGGGGTGGGGTGGGGGTGGGGTGGTAGATACATTGAAAGGGGGTGGGGGATGGTTGGTGATGGGGGAAGAAGGATTTTATGTGTTCAAATCAAACAATAGGATTTAGTCTTTGTGAAATACTTAATTGCTGAAACCTTTTGCCCTCCCTGGAACATAGGCCATCTACAAGAATTTTCTATGCACCACATCTTAGGGTTGGCTTCCAGGTGCTCCCCATACTTTGTGTGTCTGCCTCTAGCTTGCGTCTCCATGTGTTCTTTGTCCTGCCTCTCTTCCCTTCTCCCTCTATATTCCATGTCGCTGCTTGTCTGGTGAGCCCAAGTTACTTTGTGGATATTCTTATGCTGGAAACGCTGCTCCCAATAATGAAGCTCATTTGCCGTGCAGTCTTTCGCCATTTTAATTTCTCTCTCCTAAACCATGGTGCCCTTTAATGTTCATATCCTATATGTACTTTCCCAATCTTAGCATTTAAATCTCCCATTAGGATAATTAGATCTCCACCTGGAAATTTTTCTAGTATAGCTTGTATTCTATTGTAGAATTTATTATCCTCCTTACCATCATTGCGCGGGTGGATAGCACTGTATTAAATTCATATTTAATTTCTGCTTCTTGGTTCGAATGCTGCGCTTATAATTCTTGGACCATGGACTTCCCATCCCATCAATCCCCCTTGTGCCATACTCGTCATCATGATACTGACCTGAGTATATTAGTGCTTCTCCCAAGGCCAGTGTGAACTGTCCAGCTTGTGTCCATCTTGTTTCGCAAATGCCAAGCAGTGTGAGATTGTATGTCTTATGTATGCCACTTGTGCTGATATTCATGTTTCTAAAATTGCTCTAACTTCCCCGAACTTTGCATATTGCCCCTTGGCTTTGACGCTTACAGTATAACATGGCTTTGGCCGCAAGGCTTCATGGCTCTTCTTGGGGAAGACGAGCCATCTGTTAGAAGGGCTGAAATTTTTTTTTTTTTTTTTTCCACTCTTGTCGAATATTCTGTAACAATTTGTTTTTACCGGGGAGGTAGCTGGACTCATGCCAACCCTCCTCCTTTTGCACCCAGGCTGGGGACCGGCTTTCATGGCTCTTCTTGGGGAAGACGAGCCATCTGTTAGAAGGGCTGAAATTTTTTTTTTTTTTTTTTCCACTCTTGTCGAATATTCTGTAAAAATTTGTTTTTACCGGGGAGGTAGCTGGACTCATGCCAACCCTCCTCCTTTTGCACCCAGGCTTGGGACCGGCCATGGCAGAGTTCTTTGAAACAATAGTGCTTATGAAAATGAGAAAGTAAACCTTACACCCAGCTCCCACCTGCTAATTAAAGAAATCTCTTACATCTAATTTTTTGCATTCATTCTAGCACTGAATGTAGCCCCCAAAAGATCCAGGCTATTGTCAGAGACACTTGCATGCCCTCTATGTACTTTGATGTGAGTGAATCTTGTGAGCAGCACTTTGAGGACAAACTGGCCAGTTTACGTGAGCACACCTGCCAGACTGTCAGAAGTGCTGAGGATTCATTACGGTAGGAAACTAGGGTATTCACTGCACAATCTGACCAACTGACCAAATAATGTCTTATTGTGACAGCAGCTAGTATTTGCCTCTTTCTCTGGAGATTATGGGATTTAAGTTTCCCCATGGTGGGTTGGGGGAAAGGGGGGGGGGGTGGAGACAAGACCCAGTCTAGTTTTTTCATTCTAATTGGAGCTAACTATGCAAAATAAACAACCAATTAATTTTCTATTATTATCCAAGAGACTTGTCTCTTACCATTGTTTAGTCATGATATTTGTCTCTTACTCTAATTGATTCATAAGATTTGTCTTTCACTAGATAATCCATGACATTTGTGTCCTACTCTAGCTAATCCATGAGATTTGTCTCTTACCTTGGTTTATTCACAAGATTTGTCTCTCATCTTGGTTTATTCATGAGGTTTGTGTCTTATGTTAGGTAATTCCTGATATTTGTGTGTCTTATGCTAGTTAATCCATCAGATTTGTGTCTTATGCTAGTTAATCCATGTGATTATGTCTTATGTCAGCTAATCAATGAGATTTGTCTCATGCTAGTTGATACATATTTGTGTCTTATGCATGTTAATCCATGATATTTGTGTCTGATGCTAGTTAATCCAAAGGATTTATGTCTTACGCTAGTTAATCCATGAGATTTATCTTATGCTAGTTAATCCATGATATCTGTATCTGATGCTAGTTAAATCCACATCATTTAAGTCTTACTAGTTAATCCATGAGATTTATCTTATGCTAGTTAATCCATGATATTTGTGTCTTTTTCTTTAAACTGGACTATATGAAGCGGTTTTACTGGGATAATAGTAGATACCTTTTCTTGCTAAGTCTTAACATCTAAAAATCCATTTTTTCCGGAATGTAACTGAATCAGGTTTTGATGTGCTGTATCAAAAATGCAACAAGAAAAAACAAAAAAACATCCAATGCCTTCGAAATAAATATTTAGTTAATAATAAAATAACACTTTCCTTCTTTTCAAAGACAAATCTCTGCATAGATGTTTACGTTTTTCACATCATTTGCTTTTGATAATTTCCTCTTCTATATAATATAGGCCAACTCAACCAATTTTCACCCCTATGAACTAAAATTAAAACCTTTCTTGAAAAATATAAAAATACGTCTTTAACTTTAAAAAGAAAAAAATTATGTACAATTTTAAATATCTTTTGCATTAATGGATTAAGATAAATTGATATATTGACCTGAAAAATTTACCAAACCTGCTCTTGGCTCCTGAACCATATTATCAGAAAATCATTGAAAACAAAACCCTTTTATTTAAAGACAAATCTCTTATCCAGTTTTCACGTCTGAAAGTCATGTGTTGTTAAAGATCTATTCTCAATCTCCAACCAATGTCCCATGCCCCTAAAATGTAAAAAAAAACCACAAATATTTCTTTATATTTAAAAAAAAACTTAACCATATTTGTCCAGGCCCCTGAACTGTATTTCTGAGAAATTAAAAAAAATATGTATCTAATTTTAAAAATGAAATTTTCACACCTGTAAAATTATGGGGTTTTTAGATACTGTTATCCACATAAAAAATATCCACACTCTTATTCTATTATAATAGAATAAATGACCCGATGTTATCGGGATAATAATGGTATTTTATCTGCTGCATATATTACGCCGACCCTACTCCCTTTCACACCCCCAAACTACATTTTCCCCTCTAAACATGACCTTAAATTACCTAATCTAAAATATCACTAATTATATCCTTTTTGTCACTAAAGAAGTTAATTGAGGGATGATTTCTAAGCTAGAGAATTGCTTTAGATTTTCCCCTTTTCGTGCCCTTGAATTCCAACTTTAATTTCTCTAAAAATTGGGAAAAAAACATAATAATATCATATAAATATATTTCATATTAAAGGAATTTGATCTATTGATATCTTCATAAAAAATGTAACATACTTTTGCCTTGTTTTTTTAATTATACATTATCAGAAAATCTTAAAACAAAGAATCCTTTTATCTCAAGAAGATTCTCGCAAACCGTTTTTCACGCCTAAAACACACTTGAGTGTCTTTTTAAAAAATTTAAATTGTTCATCTCATAAAAATACACATTTCTTGACTTTTTGCAAAGTAAAAACCAAAATATAATTTCATTTTTTGAAAGTAAATATTAACCCATCTCTGTTTTTCAAAATTAATTTTTCAAGTGTGTAAAATGATTGGGTTTTGATATTCATGGGTATACTTATATAAATGTACCCAAAATTTTTTAACGTCATTGATTTTCTTTCTTGGTAAACATATGTTTATTTGTAAAAAGAGAATGTAACATCTCTTTTTTCACAAATGTAATACCATCATAAGATTTAAATATATTGTCATCCACGCAAAAATGTGCACATCCTTTTTTCTTACCTCAAAATATATGTACCAAAGAAGGTTAATTATTTATCAAATTCATTCCTTTGTTTTGCCACGTATCTTGTTTTGCCTTGGGCAAAATGAACATACCCATATTTGTAAAAAGAGAATGTAACATCTCCTTTTAAATATATAGTCATCCACGTAAAAATGTACACATCTTATTTCCTACCTACGATATGTATTTACCCAAGAAAATAAATTTTTTATCAAATTCAATCCTTTATTTTGAGATGTATCTTGTGCTGCCTGGGGCAAAGTGACCAACCCCTCCCCCCACCCAGATTTAAATAAATTTAGAAAATCTTCCACTGGATTGTAGTCCCTTCCATACCTAAACTAACATATTTTACATTTCATATTATGGTTCGTTCTTATTTGTATGAGTTATAAGTGGATTAGTGAATGCTATTTGGCTATGGAGTTGCGCTGCACTGATTGACTTAAACAGCATTTTCTTATTAGAAGTATTTTTAAAGGTTAAGTTTTTAATTAGTTATAAATTTAATAAAAGTATATTTTTGGAATTAAAAAAAGTTAAAACTTATTAAATGTTAAAAATACAAAGCTAAAATTGTTGTGTGTTTTAACAATTTAAAAGAGCAATCAATTAAATTTATTAATTTTACTTTAAAGAAGGGGGAAATACTTTATCAGTTTTGTAATATACTGTTCTTAAATCAAAGAAACTTAAGAGTATTGGCTAACATTGAGATTTGCACTATGATGTTATTAGCTTTTATTAAGAAGAAATTAATTTTAATTTTATATCCACTATTAACAGCGCACTAAAAAACGCACTAAAAACAACTGATTTTGGGGTTTTCCCGATAAATGTGATTACATGTAATTCTTAGATCATAATTTTATTATTAATTTTTTTTTCATAACTTTTAAATTCGAATACACTGCTTAAATAGTTCCTTAATGTTACTTTAAATGTATTTGTAATTTATAATAATAATACTTAAAATTTTACTAAAAATAAAAGCGGATTTAAAATATATTTTGCGCATTTAAATTTATTCGATTTCCGTAAAATAATAGAAAATAACTTGGATTGTTTTTAGGAATCCGAACATACTTAAATCTTTTCGGTTCTTTGGCGTTATGTCACTAAAGCTCATTCTTATATATATCTTAAAGGAAATTTTTACAAAATATGTGCAATACATTTTTGCAATCCTCATAATTATGTGCCCACCCATCACCTTTGAAATGTATATATGAAACAATTACAATGTCCTTTCTTTCAAAAAAAATCGTATCTACAATTTTCCCCTTTCCAACTTCAATGTGTTTGGGGTATATGTACACATAAGCACTTGATCTGCATTTTCCAACATAATTGTAACACACATTTATTTATTTTGAAAGAAAATCTTGTTCACCTCTGTAATATCATTGGATTTAAATAACTTGATGTTCACATAAAAAGTAACACACCCTCTTTCCTCTGACTGAAATGTATGTGGAGTAGAAATTTTAATAAATTATTTCTTTAGTTCTAAAACTATCTATACCAATTTCCAGTGTGTGACCTATTGTAACTTTGAGATATTGCTATACCCATCTAATGCCCCACCCATTCTGTGGCATATCTTGTGCTTTATCAAGTAACCCCATTAATAACGCAATGGCAGAATTTTGCCCAACCCTGAACTATATTAGTATTCTATTGTCCCAACCACCCTTAACCACACAATATACTACCTTTCTATACATACATACATCGCTTATATCTGTGTATTTAAAGAATGTGGTTATTTATTTTTGAATTAAAATCCATACAAAAGTTCAATCTGTATCATTTTCATGTGTGGAGATTTTGATATCAAAATTTTACCTAATTTTCATCGCCCTTAAATGAAAAAAACAAGGAATGTTAAAGTTAATAGTTCACAAATTTATTTTCAATTATCTAATACAAAAAATTGGGATACATTGGTAACTTTTTTTTTTTGGGGGGGGTGGGGGGGAAGGGGGGGGGGGCATTATTGCTTGATCAGCATTTTTCTATTTTAACAAAATTTTTCTAATGTCAAATTTTTCCTTGATTGCAATTTAAAAAGCAGACAATCATATTTATTTTAAATAGTAAAGAGGGAAAAACATTTTCATTTTGATCACGTTAAAATTAAAAAGGGCTGACAATTTGCGTGTCATCTGAGCCAGTAACGGTTATTGAGATTAAATCAAGAACATCTTAACATAAATTTAAAGCGATATAATAATCGGATCAAAAGCATATTTACATTTTCATTTAAGGAATAGTTACCATGTTAGGCTTTTTATACAAAATACAGTCTCACATTGAGGTTAATACTTAAACTTTTATAATTCAAAAAATTATATTTGCTTTTAAATTAATAATAATATTGAACAATGACATTATTGTGTCAATCGCCTTGTATTAGGCACCTGTGGAAAACTGGAAAAACTGATATCTTAAGTTCACTTCAAAGTAGCATAAACTTATTTAACTCTCACAATTGGAGAAATAATTCAAATAATGATTTAATTATTTTTGTTCTTACTTATAATACTAATACTTATATTGCTAAGAATACATATATTTATTTCCTTATAAGCATATTTATGAATGGGACTTAAATTGGTTTGATTTTCCTTAAAATGAAACATAAATTTCGAACATTAAATTTAAGAAATCCCTTTAGTGAATAAATGTTATTTTTCGCGGCTATTGATCACAATTTATGCACTGTTAGGTTCCGTTTTAGGGCATTTTATATTGTGTCCTATTGAAAGAATAACATTGATAGCCTAGCTCATTCTTATACCCATGCAAAATTTTTTTAAAAATCTTTTTTTTAAAAACAAGACAATTTTCCAGCAAAATCTTTTCTTTTCTTGCCCACACGGATAAAATTTATATTTTTTCATGAGATGTAGCTTCGAGATGTAGGTTTATCCATGATATTTGTTTCTTAGGCTTGTTAATTCATGATATGTGTCTCTTATCTTGGTTTTATCATGTTATTTGTATCTTACATTGATTTATCCATGATATTTGTCCCTGACCTTGGTTTATCTATGAGATGTGTCTCTTATCTTGATTTATCTATAAGATGTGTATCTGACTTTGGTTTATCTATGAGATGTGTCTCTTACATTTATTTATCTATGATATTTGTTTCTTACCGGGTTTTATCCATGAGACTTGGTTATTCATTATTATTATTATCATTATTACAGTTTTTTTATATAGCGCAGTACCCCAGCCTAGGGGCTGGGCTCACCGCACTTCACATAAAAATATTGGCAAAAATAAACATGACATTAAAAAGTTAAAATATTCATCCCGACCACCCCCAGAACTATGTCAACTATGGCCCCCAGCAGCTTCGTTTCTCGGTGAGAGTGTGGTGAGAATCAGTCAGGATAGTACAGTTTGAAGAGATGTGTCTTGAGCGCAATTTTGAATTTATTTTGTGTCAGACTCCTACTCTGTTGCCTGATGTATAACATGGCATTGGTGTGAAAGTAGCAAACCTGGAAAAGATAAAGGTTCTAAAAATGCTGGAAAGAAACCCTATCCTATTTTTAAACAGTCCATTCCTCTTTCTGCAGAGAGAAGTGTACAGAGAATGAAATTGAGATCCTTCTTGCGGGTTCCTGTGAGTCCTTGAGGCATTTAGTTTTTATCCACAAGCATTTGATGGACTCTGCGCCAACATGTTACGAACGGTTGTTGAAGTGTAAAATGAACTACGTGACACTGGACAAGTTGTATGACCCTAGAAGTCACAGTAGGAACTTTTGTTGGCTTTTGAGCCTCAAGAGTTTTGAAACATGTCTTACCAGCAGGTTAGGACCATCATCATTTTTTGTATATAAACATTTTCTTTAAGAACCAGAGATATTTAATCATCTGTTTTTGTTAGGACAAGGTCTCCAATCGATATCTCAGGGAGTATACTATGATGTGTATCAAAAAACATCCAAGAAACACATGATCGAATTTTATATAATATATCATATTTAGGCCTACATATTTTTGTGTGTGGAGAGAGCTATAGGCAGGACATAAATAGCCTCAATTTGAGGCAGTACAATGGCATTTAATTAATTAATCAAAAGGTGCATGTAGCCATGCTGTCTTAACTGAGTCAGTCTCAAGCTAGTGGCCTGGAGTTCAGTCCCCAGAAAATCCCCAGAATAAAAACATCACCAGGAATCCACTGGGTTGCTGCTCATTAACCTTTGATGGCAACTCACCTAAGAGAAGACAAAATCTGAACTGAAAAACAAAAAAGGAGCCCAGTAGGGGTTACGAAATTGACAATATGAAAATTTGGACAACTCCTGCAACTTGGAAACACATGAAGAGCACAGTGAAACACACACACCGCTGGTCATTCACTGCATCTGGTCTATTTCCAGTTGTCTTGACCAAGTCTTTCCATTGGATCAAATAGGCAAGGATGAGAGAGTTAGGCTGAGGAAATGAGAAACTCTCCCTCATTTTCAACAAAATACAGATCAAGTCAAGACCACTGCTCAATTCAAAAATTGCCTTGGTCATCTTGTGTGCAAAGGAGGAACAACAACAAAACAACAATCAATTTGAAAAAGTATAGTTGATCTAGGTCGTCTAGGTCTTTTTTTACAGTTTATCGAGGTCGGTCTAGGTCTTTATTTACAGTTTATCTAGGCCCATCTAGGTCTTTTTTTTATAGTTTATATAGGATGGTCTAGGTATATTTTTTTCCCTTGTCGCCTTTCAAATTCAAAATTATGCCACGGAAATGTATATTTGGAATCATGATCAGCTCCTAGACAGGACACTGAGACTCTCCTGTTTCGATGGTTAAACTAAATTAGATCTATCTCAGTCTAGGTAATTTGTTTTAAAATTCATTGGTGAAAGACAGAACAAATCTGAACAATATTTACATTTTGGGAAAATTTTAATAAAGGAATTCTAAAATTGTATTGCTACACTGAGTTTTCATACTTCTTTGCTCACTAGTATGGATTTATTTGATAAACTTGTGTGAGATCAAGGGCCGATAAATCATTCAGGCCTCATTGAACTGACTTGTGCTTGAAGAGGTATCTGTGTATGGATGCTATTTCTGTCTCTTGGGTGCTGCTACAATGGGAAATGACTTTTCTGTTTTTCTTGCCAGGCAATTTGAAGACAATCTTTGCGACATATCCAGTATGAGCGCACTCATCTCAGCAGGATGTAGAAGTCGGCCTGGAGTGTTAACAAAGTCTTGCAGTCAGCATGCGTTAGTCTGCATCCATGGAAACATCAGATCTTGCGAGGACATCAATGCTCAGGAAAATTGTTTGCTGTAAGTGTTTTATGCCAATTGTAAAAAATACACCACAATGTACATCATGCACACCACATCATGCACACCACATCATGCACACCACATCATGCACACCACATCGTGCACACCACATTGTGCACACCACATCATGCACACCACATCGTGCACACCACATTGTGCACACCACATTGTGCACACCACATTGTGCACACCACATCGTGCACACCACATCATGCACACCACATCGTGCACACCACATCGTGCACACCACATCATGCACACCACATTGTGCACACCACATTGTGCACACCACATCGTGCACACCACATCGTGCACACCACATTGTGCACATTGCAATGCTGTAGCAAAGGGCTCATAGTGAAATTTGTTATTTTAAAATCACCACTTATGTTTGAGCTTTATGTAGCCACTTATTTGTTAGGTTCCTTGACCAAATGATGTTTGAGTTGTATGAATGTTCAAATACAGTTCTTTAATTTGGAGAGTGTTCTAGTTATTTGTGTTATTTAAGTTCTGAATTTTGATCCGATCCCATGAAATTTTGAACACCACCAAGTACCTTGTTATTGCGGGGTAGATGTGTACCAACAATGACTCTGTTGTTTCTTGCAGGGAGATGTGTACCAACAATGACTCTGTTGTTTCTTGCAGGGAGATGTGTACCAACAATGACTCTGTTGTTTCTTGCAGGGAGATGTGTACCAACAATGACTCTGTTGTTTCTTGCAGGGAGATTGTACCAACAATGACTCTGTTGTTTCTTGCAGGGAGATGTGTACCAACAATGACTCTGTTGTTTCTTGCAGGGAGATGTGTACCAACAATGACTCTGTTGTTTCTTGCAGGGAGATGTGTACCGTCATTGAGGCCAACCATGTGATGAGAGAGTCCTGCACAACCCTGAACTATCTTGCCACACTGATTGCAACTGCAGCTGAAGTGCCCCATGAGTGTGGACAAAAGATCTACTATTGCCTCTCAAACCTTCACTTCCCGAATCATGAGTGGCTGCCCTCTTCTAAAGTGGAGCAGCAGTTTTGCCAGGTCATCAACACTGACATTTTCATAAGGTGCACTTCGGAAAGGTCAGTCAAGATTTTTTATTTGAAATTTTGCACTTTTTTTTTCTCTAAATCTGACCCCAATTTGTCAGTTTTAAATTGATGCCACCAGTTAATGTTTGTGAACTGATCCCAATGTTTTTGAACTGATCCCAATGTCTTTGAACTGATCCCAATGTTTTTGAAATGATCCCAATGTTTTTGAACTGATCCCAATGTATTTGAACTGATCCCAATGTTTTTGAAATGATCCCAATGTTTTTGAACTGATCCCAATGTCTTTGAACTGATCCCAATGTTTTTGAAATGATCCCAATGTCTTTGAACTGATCCCAATGTTTTTGAACTGATCCCAATGTTTTTGAACTGGCCACAATTGAGGTTTGATTGAGTAGCTTCAAACCGCAGCTGCAAAGCCAAGTATGGAGTTGGAGCCAAGCTTTGTTGACAAGATTCTAATTATTAAAATGTCTTCAATACTTTACAAGAGGAGTTTGGGGGGGGGGGGATATGAAGTTTTTCATGAGCTTTAGTTCCAGCGCTCCAGTCACAATTTATGATGTTTAAAAAAAAAATTATTTTTACCGTAATCAAAAGAAAGTGAAAAGTCATTGCAAAAATTAAAAAAATATTGGGGGGGGGGGGGATATGAAGTTTTTCATGAGCTTTAGTTCCAGCGCTCCAGTCACAATTTATGATGTTTAAAAAAAAAATTATTTGTACCGTAATCTAAAGAAAGTGCAGAGTCATTGCAAAAATTAAAAAAATAGCTTGTGAGGATAGTTTTATTATAATATATCATCAAGATAACCAAAGTGGTAAACAATTGATATCTTATAGCAAAGTGGGGTGAGGTCAAGGCCTACTTACTCAAGTTATTCAATAGACAAAAATGTATGATTTTTGTCAAACTTCTGAGAGTTCCAAAATTGTCATGAATGGCTGAACATGCTCCATGTTCACTGTGTAGCATTTACTCTATGTGTCATATTGGTGCAGTGAGGAATGTCTGAACACACTCCATGCTCACTGTGTAGCATTTACTCTATGTGTCATATTGGTTCAGTGACAAATGTCTGAACACACTCCATGTTCACTGTGTAGCATTTACTCTGTGTGTCCTATGGTGCAGTGAGGTGCTGCTCTCTCCAGCATTACTAGTTCATTTAGTAGATATTAGAAATAGACTACAGCTACACACTCACATCTATATTACAGCCTGAAATCAAAACAGACACTTGTTTGACATTCATAGCCAATGCAGACATCAATCATATGAAGTGCAAAGACTCACTGTATGCACAGAAAAAAAAGTTATGACGGATTGTTAATAATAATTTAAAAATTAAACTAATGATAATTAATTCAAGCTCTTAACCTTTTTTTGTTTGTTTTTTGTTTTAATCTTCTTGAAAATTTCAGACTGATCATTTAAAAATGTCTCTTCTTATGCTCAAATGTTCTTTGCTTTTCCGTTAAGTCTCTGGTACCAAATGCGCCAAGGACAAAATTTGAGCAACATCAATGAGCCTTACTTAATTAGTTATACTATTTTCAGCCATGCCAACTGGTGGTTTTCTTGACAATAATGATGTCATTGAATTTCTATAAGTGCATGACTGAGGGCTATTATTGCAATCTTAGGAGTGGTAAAGCTCACACATATTTAGGCAGCATGCTATCTCTGTCATGGCAACAGTGTTGCCAAAAGCAAATTTATTGGGAATTCCCACCACCAAGCAGAAGTTATAAGAGCAATTTTATTAACAACTCTTCAGCTAGACAGTGTGCAGCAGAAACACCAGACAATTAAAGCATCCTGTCTACAGAATCTTCTTGGCATAAGATGGATGGACATAGTCCTTGATACAGAAGTTCTGCAACAGGCTTGCTTTCTAATCATTTGCATGTCATAAAAAAAAATAAAAAGCCAGATGGGCAGGTCATGACAGATGGGCCAGTTATGACAGATGGGCTGGTCATGACAGATGGGCTGGACATGACGGATGGGCTGGACATGAAAGATTAGCTGGTCATGACAGATAGGCTGGACATGACAGTTGGGCTGGACATGACAGATGGGCCAGTAATTACAGATGGGCTGGACATGACAGATGGGCCAGTCATGACAGATGAGCTGGTCATAATAGATGGGCTTGACATGATAGATGGCCCAGCCATAACGATGGGCTGGTCATGATAGATGGGCTGGACACGACAGATGGGATGGACACTTTGCAAGAATGCCAGACAACAGACTGCTCCCTTAAAAATAATACTTTTCTAACTATCCAATGAGAAATACTCAGTTAAAGGGCA